CGACCATTGTAGGCAGAACCGAAAATCATTGTAGCGGAGGCTTTATACTACGCTATATGTCGATGGGTGTCTCCCATTAGAAACAAAGATGGCGGCAAAGTGGCTTTAAATTACAGATATTGGCTGATGGCCTTACCTTAAGTCTACGGCTACGTCAGTCTTAAGCGCTTACGGATAGTTGTCTGCCATCAGCCATTGTATAACTAATATGTCTACTCTCTGTCAGCCCTTTGATCTTTTCGGTTTCGATTACGTGGTATTCCGCCATTACTTTGGTGTATGAAATTCTTTCACACTACCCTATATACAACTACCACATATACAACATCCGTCTCATTGGCCACACCAAGATAATGGCGGATGTGCAGAAAGGATCGACGCAAAACAAAACAAATGACAGAGTGGGCATACTAGTTATACTATGTTATAAGACTTTAGAAGTCTGTAGAGCCTATCACATAATGCCAGGCAACAGGCAATAAGAATATAGAATAGAATTTTTGACGCGTTGGATTCGTCGAAAATTTTCTTCCAACCAATCCAACGCCCTAAGGGCCATCGCACACAAAATTGCATAGCTGCATATGCAGAGAGCAGAGAGAAACCTGAGAGCGGCCACGCCGGCGTTTTACTAGATACCGTTTTCGCTCGGCTGATTCCAGCGCCTCACGCCTATTTTCATTTTTGGAACTATTTCGCTACACCCAAGCACTGTCGATAAAGTCTCCATTTGGTGCGTGTCCGTGCTACACCCATTTTTCAAGCGGGTAATGCCCAATTTTACTTGATATACCGTTTCAGGAGAGTGTTTTGCGCGCTCTTACGCTAATTTTTACTTTTAGAACTATTATGCATTTTCTGACACTGGCCGATAAAGTCTCCACTTTGTGCGATCCATGTAATTACACTCCATAAAGTACATTAACAGTTGGTAAATTAAATTGCGATTTTACCGATTATTAATAATGAATTTTTATGTGTACATTTGCATTTTTATATTCTATTCATAAGAATGATTGCCCTTTCCTCTAATATTTAATAAAAGTATAAATTGGTAAAGTATAAACAACTTTGCAAAAAAAATAGTGAAACATTGGTAACAAGTAACGTTCAATCTATGCGAGAAAGATATCAATTTTAGACAAGACCAAAATCAGACTCGATTACGTTGCTGATTTCATGGTGACATTATGTCCAGCGATTTACAAACGAATAAATCATTTTTACTTTACATATCCGTGTCTTTGTCATTAAAAAGGAAGTTTTAAGTTATTTTATTATCGTTTACTTGATTACTAAGCAGCGCACATTTCTCTGCGCCGCGCTCACCACACAACAATAATAGTTACATGTCGAAAATATAGCAAGACTTTGCAAAAGGACAAATAGTGAAATATTGGTGACAAGTAACGTTTAATCTATGCGAGATAGATATTAATTTTAGACAAGACCGAAGTCAGACTCAATTACGTTGCTGATTGCATGATCACATTGTCTAGCGATCCACAAGTGAATAAATAATTTTTATTTTACATATCCGCGTCTCTATCGTTAGAAAAGAAGAAGGAAAATGGAAAGACAAGAAACAGAAAGGAAAACAGAAGACGCATTAATTTTTAGACTCCCGCTGTACTGGGATATATCTCATCGTGCATTTTCTTATAATGTAGTTTTACCATTAACACTATCATCGTCTCCGACTCATTATGCTAATTATGCTATTTTATATACTAATTATTTACTTTGGGTAAGAATAGATTTAATAAATTTTAATTTCTAGATGAATATTTTCAAGCACAATTTACAAAATATGGAAACTGATATGTGTGAATATTGTTGTGTATGCGTAAAGACATTAATTTTAAAAATAATTTTTATCATACTTTAAAGAATAACAATATTCCTCCTACATTCAAATACTAATTCAATAAGCAATATCCGAAATAATATAGAGAAGACGTGGTACATTTTGTGAAATAGTAAAAATGTAATTTCGCTAATTTAATATTTTATTTTGTAGCACGTATGGGAAAAAGGCTCCGAAAAATCGGAAGTAACGAAGAGATATAGGTTGTCGCTTGACATACTTACATCAATAATGCTCAAGATAACTAGTTTTTTTGGGACGTCACGCTGTAATGTAATAAATATCAATATCCATTTTGAACGTTACGGTTTTCTTTCATATTTTTCATCAAATTGTCAGACTAGAAATTAATTAATTTCTGTTAACACGCATATTACAATTAAACATATAAGGGCATATGTAACTTTGATTTATATTGCAATGTGGATAAATGTTTTATACTGTAAAATATCACTAAATAATGGTTTAATGCCGAACATAAATTATTATTGTTTCAGCAATTGTTACGTTGTGTGGGTTTTTCTGTATATCTGCAGGGAGGTAATACAGATCAACCTTTCGAAAGTATACAAGAACGCGGCGTGATATACACTTTGTTACAATTATCGAAGCGTCAGAAACTCCAAGGCGTTATAACTATTTCAACAGGCATCTTCGGTTGTATTCTCTGTTTTTATGCAAACAAGTTTAAAATACCGGTGACAGTGGTGATGCCGATTTTCACATCGGAGTGTTACGTTGAAAAGTGTCGAGAATCAGGTTTCCGAACTTCAGTGATCGTCATTGGCAACAATATTTTAGACGCTCATATTTGTGCTTTACGTCTCGCAGAAGAGGCTGGGCTATTTTACATTGACGAGTATTCTTTTTGTTATTAAACTCGCAATTAAGTTAAAATGTTAAATTTTTATAATAAAATGTTTATCATTTATTTCTGTCTGTTATATGCGATAGATTAAGATTTTTTTAAATTAAAAGATATGCATCACATTATCTTTCAATAACCATACTTTGTTATTGTGTTGTGTTAAAAATTGGTTTTATTAGTATTTTTATCTAATTTCCTCACTGAATAACATCATATTTTTTACCAGGATCATCCAAATATGATCATTGGTCAAGCAACTATAGGTGTAGAAATTGCCACAGGGATTACGAATAATGATGTAGTGATATTACCTTCAACAATCGAAGAATGTAGTTTAACAGCCAGTATTGCAATAGCTATTAAAGAAATGCAGCCGGCCGCAACAATTATTGTAAATGAATAATTGATTTTCTACTAATTAATAATTAAAAATTATTGATTCACATTTAATCAATTACAAAAGTTTTCTCGAGAAAAACATTCTATGTACTTTAGATAATTTTGTAAATTATATTCAATTTCAATTCTTAGATGGTCAAACCTGAAGTTTGTAATGTTTTCGACAAAAACATTAAATTCGTTAGGGGATACAACTTGTGCCAGAGAGAATTAAGATTTCCTACTGTGCAATATGAATGGTATCAAGCTTCTACACCTGAACCGATCGTTGATGAGACTTATCGAGTAACTAATCAATCAATTGCTCTTGCGGCTAAAATTCTAGAAGAAACGAAATGCTACATTGATTATAATACAGCGATTGGTTTAGCTTCGATTATAAATGGTCAATTAAACCATCTGCATGGAAAAAGGTGATTTCCGTTATGAAATAGATCATGTACTAATCTTTCAGAATTGATTACTTCTGTAATGACGTATTTCATAATACGGAACATGCACTGCCGGTTACTATTCAATTAAATATTGCACTGCCATGTTAATATTATTTAATAATATAATTTTTTCTTTCTTTTCTAGAGTGGTAATACCTGTGTTTGGCGAAATGGATTCGGATTACATAGTGCCAAATCAATTGCTACTTAATTGTGCTGATTCCTCGAGTGTTACTAACAGTCCTTCTAAAGTCGACCCGCTATCTATACAACTGATATGAAACTCAATACTATAATATTTTTTGACAATTCTGACGATGCCAATTTTAAAATTAATAGGATGTAAAATTGAATCCGATAGATTGGTTTTCCTAAGGTATACAATTATACAATAGATGATATATGTAGTGTGTATTTTCCAAAGAACTTCAGAAACACGAAGAGTGCCTTGTTGCGCGACGCGCTATACGATAACAACATGAAAAGTATGTACATTGGTTTAGTTGTTAGTTATATACTTTTCATGCTTGCTTATCTAAGTTTTGCACATCAGCTTGTTTTACACTGACAATGAGAAAGATTTCCAACGGACAAACCAATTAGTGTTTCCGATGGTTAATTTTTTCGGTTACGTTTCCCGATTAAATTATAGGTACATCCGATGAAATTTGATCGAAAAACCGATGATATTTAATCAAAGAGATACAATTTAATCAAATATGTCAGTTTGTTATTATTGTATTGTTATTATATAATTGCATTATCCGGCTATATTTAATCGGACAGTTTTCTCAGTGCGGTAGATTACACATAATTATTAAATAAAATTAAACCGTGTATTAGGCACATTTTGAAGAGTACTTACAACTAATTATGAAATTAATTAAGTTTCCTTAGAATTACCAGTTCTCATGACACGATTCAACAATGTATGTTACACATATTCCAGGTAGCAGAGTGACGTTCAAAGACAGCAAAATTACGTTCGTCGATGTCTAATCTAATTGCAAGTCTCCATGTCGCTTTTAACATCACTCTGCTACTTGGGATAATATGCATGTATTATATAGAGCGCCCCAGAACTAGCGGGGAATAATAAAAGGACATATTCGGCAGGCTAAAATAAGACAATTGTTTCATATCAACATGTAACTGAATGTGCACCCCCTGTGAGCTAGAGTCTTCAAAGTATATAGAAAAAAAAACTTGAATTTTCTGTTCACTGTTTAACCCTCAATTTCAAATTCTACGAAAATTGGTACATTTACGTATCAAAGTTCATTTTATTTTTGGTACCCAAAACTTTCTGTATATTACATACGTATGTACTTTTATGGTAATTTTTATTCATAAGGTATATTGTAAAATAAATCAACTTTTCTTAGGAATGGAATTTGTAGCGAGACATTATGCGCACTGTTGACTATATATGCATTGTGCTATTATTCCGCAAGTAATCGTTAATTGCATCGGAGCAATGGCCGCGGTGATCAATACATGTGATAATTATCTGTGACGAATCGTCGCGTAAGTTACTGAAAAGAGAATCCAGCAGTTCTAATTACGCGAGTGCTTCGACAGTTAAGAATTATTATTGGTTTTCAATATTCTGTTTCAAAGAGCACCGTCTTAACTACGGGAAAATTCTAAACAATAACCTTTGGAATTTAAAAATAGCGCGAGAATGACCAAATCGCCTCGTTCATGCACCTGTCGCGATTCACTGTCCGTCGTCCGCCTAAACATCTGCGATGCCATCCATGCGATCTTGATTCGAGGCACCATTGTTCCTCATGACCGCGCATCGAGTCTTTCCAAGTGGAAACTAATCAGCTTCGGAGCACGATCTCTGAATATTTTGCGAAGTACTGTGACTTGAACAAATGCCGTACCGATTGTATAATTTTAGACAATTTTTCATAATGTAAGCGTATTATAATTCGTAATAAATTCTTCTTTTAAATGCCTCTTTAAAAAGTTCTTAAGTAACTTAATTACATAACGATTCAAATTGTTTCGAATATTATTATTTAAAACTGAAAATTCTTAAAAGCTTTTAAAACTTCGGATGTTTTGAAACTTGTAAAAAATTCTCGAATATACTGAATCACGTTCTTTAAAAATATTTCATTATCAAGAGACACGGCAGTGTCTCGTACCAAGCATAAGCGCAGCGAGAACCGTGAGCGTAAGAACGACCATGTATAATGTATGTATACGTATATAATACGTGAACTATATTTTTATACTTTTTCTTAAAAATATCGAATTTTTATCTATAACAGTTAGATCTGAATGTACTTGGCTACTTCAGCAAACAGTTACTTCCGTACATCATAAGAACTATATTATTATTGCTGTTTGCACATGCGCGCGCGTGTGTGTATTTACTTGTGAAAGAACAAGATATACACGTAACGCACATATGTATGCATCGTCCAAAAAAAATAATCTGATAAGCTCGGGTTATTACGTCTACATTATCGAGTAAACATGTTTAATCTTCAGTAAATTATTAATTATTCGCAGTATGTACTTTACGGTACGAAGAAAAAGAAAATGTTATAAAAAATGCATGTCTCTCGCATACTAGCTTCTGAACTGTCGGTGTGTCGTAGCGTACTTTATCGATTAGATGCTTGGAATTTTCAGCGAGCGACTTACGATTACCTGCGGTAACGATGTGGTGTATGACATATGTATTATACAGTGAATCAATAATGTGCGTATCGATCATTTTGTCGTAGTGGACAGTGCTATGGAAGCTTAATATCGCCGTTTCATTACTTATTGAAGGTTGTTAAGGGCTTTGAGAGACATATAGACAGCTGTAACAATAACTAATAATATACCTAAGTTTAATAATGTATCTGGTTTAATGACACCCTGTAAAAGGTAATACTTTTTCACTGTAATTAAATATGCGCAGTCGTGACGATAATTCGAATGCGTTTGCGTTGGTAGCACATGCGAATGCGATTCCGACGGCTCTAGCGACGCAATTTAACGATTGCCTTTAATTATTTTTTTCCTAGTAGAAACGATGAAACGATTTTAGGAACGTGTTAGTTTTTAACATTTAAATCATGGGCGTTGATAAATGTAGAAATGGAAGACACGTGTATTGAATAAATATAATAACAAAGTTAATTTTCTTTTACTTTCATGTTTATACCGTGCACTATATTGTCTTGATTTTGTCTATCGTTTCAGATCAATCAATTGCAGCAATATTTGATTTTTAATGAATACAATATTTTCGAAAACTACCTTCAACAAAATCAAATGTAATGCTTATGGATGATAACGCTCCGGTTGATATCTCGGTCGCCATCCTCGCTGCCCTTTTAATTGCTGCCGCGTTAATACTGATACTGATTATGCAATAAACGAAGACACTAATTATGCTCGATTGCCTCGGATTAATATAATTTGGGTAATACTATCATTTTCGTGATAACGCAAGACGCACTGCTAGATAACAATACACTGAAAAAAAATTCTGGTTGAATATGGACGAATCAGATAATTCCTTTAGGATTTACCAGAATTCCTGTAATCCTACAGAAATTCTGGTAAATCCTAAAGGAATTCTGGTAAATCCTAAAGGAATTATCTAATTCGTCCATATTCAACCAGAAATTTTTTTCAGTGTAGATATGTAATAAAACGTTCTCGATTGTAAGGAAGTGAAATTATTTATCCAAGGTAGCGCGGCGATCCCTAAGGGACGTGCATGAATAAATCTGTTGTTTTCGTTTTCTGATTTCGCAGCGGTCCTGGCTGCGTCCTGGTAGAATTGTACACGCGACTTTACGTACCGCACGATAAATCGATGGTCCGACGGCCGATGGTCGTGCTGGGCAGGAAAAAGGGATTCATGAGAGATTCGATGGGTACCGATATATATATAATATTCATAAGCGAACCGTCGTGCCACTGGCATCGGCGCAGGCGTGACCATCGTCGCTTCATTGCGCCATGCCGTTCATATCATACTGTTCTGGTACCTGCTGCCCGAAACGAGGCGAAAGTACCCCTCGTTCGTTCGTGCGGCCTTAATCAATTTCGCTATGTCAACGAGAACGTCGTCCATATTGACCCTCGTTTTCTTCTTGCCATTTGTGCTTTGTCAAACGTCAATGGAATTGGGTAAGTACGAAGTTATACGCCCGCCCACGTACGGGGTGCGATGTCTTTTCTCCTTTTGACTTCTCGACTGTTACTGACAATTTAGGTCCGGTTTCACCAAACGTCGCTTAACTTTAGTCTTGGTTTAATTCGCGTTTGTACTCTTTCTAGAGTAGCAGTTGGAAAGAAACGTAGAACGAATTAAGCTAAGCTCAAAGTTAAACGACGTCGGCGAAACCGCGCTTAAACTGTCAATATTAGATTTGATAAGATCTCTCTTTCACAGTAGATTTCTATGATTTTTACTTCTAACGTTATAACTAATAGGCGTTCAGCTTTAGCTGTAGAAGCTACATCCGTTTCGTACGAAATAGTAATTTTAAAACGGTGTAGTCTATGAACATTAGTAGATGAATAAAACGCGACAACAGTAATTCCCTGATAAGATTGAGCTGAGCCGACATTTCCTTCCTGTTTCCAAGTGGTCGTGATAGAGGAATCCGATTCGTCTATTTTGGGTATATTAAACGACGCGGTTCCAGAGGCAGAACGAATTTTCGCTAACGACATGATCACCGTTCACGTTTCTACTGCCACGGTGAATCGCGAGAATGTCAACGCAAGTTTCGAGAAAGGTATTGTTGTGTACCGTGCAAGTTAGAAAATATTGTTGCCCGACTTTTACTTTTCACTTTCAAGATGTTGTTGCCTCTCGCGCGCCATGCGTATAAAGGACAAACCATTTCTTAATACTCTTCATTATTAGAAAGTAATCTTTCGTAATAAGGTGGGCTGTACAACTCAAAAGTGCTCCTCTCCATTTTTCCCGACAGTTTGCGCCGTTCTATATAAAGGAATAAGTATTATACTAGATATGACGTGGACCGGTTGGGACAAATTGCGAAATCTCGCGGATGACAGAGGAATAATATATAAACGTGGCGACTGCAGTATATGCCCATACGTTCAGGCGATTGATGATCTTTTGATTATGAAAAACGCAACGGACGTTGGTTTGATCTTTGAAGATGAAAGAGGTGCGTAAGGACAGCAACGACTCGTCATTACTTACGCTGGCGCTGATATTACACGCGAATAATCGCACTTGTTTTATTGTACGTTACATCGCACATCTGTTGTCTCCTTTAAA